TTTATTGAGAAATGTTGTCTTATAATGACCCATGGTGCAGAGAGGAATATAGGCCTTTTGCCCTTAAACCTTATAATCATAAAGGTGCCTTTTAGAGCTGAATGTATCGTTTTTTTTCGTGCTCCAGGAAGGCATAGGTTATAAAGACCACTGCAAACTAAAAACTCCCAATTCACATTTAAAAGATGGGAAGAACACATCTGCTGCTGACAGGGGTATGACCACAAGTAGAGGTCGCTTTCAAGCCTTTTAATCCCTGACCCTAGTCTTTAGGATGAGCTTTTGCTTTCTGTCTAATGTGAAAATACTGGGATGTGTTTGTGTTTGATTCAATGCTGCCTTCATTTTGAGCAAAGCCATTTTGCAGACATCCTTAACAGAACAATAGATAAAAAAGCTTTTCATTTGAAACTGTAATCATATTTGGGATTTACTTGGTCTTGTGATTCACTTGGTATATTATTTATATTTCAAAACACTGGGTTTGATATAATCATACAGTAATCTGATCAATAAAGTAAACAATATTTGCAAAATCTTGGATTAGCTCTTTAGAGCTTTAGCGAGGCAGGACAAGGTGTGCTTTTTTACTTAGCATATTTCAGTAGCAAGACGATTCAAAATGCTGTACAGTAGATTAGAGTAAAAAAATGAATAAAAAAGAGTATATTGCAGCGGCTTAAAGATTAGACAAATAATTAAGGAGAATAAAATTGATTATATTTGATATTATAAATTGATATTTAAAATATGATGGATTATAATAAACCAAAATATAAATTACTGAGGAAAGTAATTTACTGAAGAGTAAATTACAGATTTACAGTAAGTTAAGGCATCAGCATTTTTACATTTTTTTCAAGTTTATTACATTAGTGGAGCATAAGAACTAAAACCTACTTCTTCGTGTTTAGGTCTGGTTCTAAGTATGAGGAGTAGATTATAGCCTGACAACAAGTCTGTGATGTATTTTCAAACTAAGCTATTTAGTAATTTATAGACTAACAGAGGTACTCTTTGGCTAATTTCTGACATACGGGGAGGAAATGAAATGGCTTTAAAACTGGGCTGATGTGCTCCACCTTTTTTTTTTTTGATTAGTAATTTAATCCCTGAGACGTTCTTTAGGGAATATAAGGCTGAATTCCTTATTGTCTTTATGTGCCTCTGAAACTTCAAGTCTGAATACATCACTACACCCTGATTAGTGGTTTCAAGCTGTATTAACTGAAGCTGTGAGCTAAATTTTGAACACATCCCTTGTTAAAAAAATTAAAACATATTGATTCCGCTGAAGTAAATTTTGACACATGCTGTTGTATGTGTAAGGTTGTGTGCAGGTGCCTGTCTGTGTTGTGTCTCACCACTTCTCTAAGGAGAAGAGGTGAGAGACAACAGAGTGCACCCATCCACATCCATGTGGATAGATGACTCTTCCCTGGGGGTTCCAGATCCGGATTTGCTTGGAAAGCAAAGAACCTCAACTACTCTCTCCATGGCTCACTAACTCCGGTCACCCACCTCTTACAAGTCCATTTTCCAAGTCCTACATGGATTAACAAACCACTTACAGCTCCCAACGACTCAAGCTTCCTAGATCCTCCAGAACTGTTAAGTAGGAGAGTTCTGCCAGTGGAAAATCAAGAGATGTTGCATAGAAGTTGCCATAACATGGACCCTTTTGCAACACAATATTTGATTTTTGTTGTCTCTGTTTTCAAGTTACTTAACGACACAAAAATGTTATTTTCTGTCAAGTAGGATTTAAACCAGTCTAGTGCTGCCCCAGAAAAGTTGACCCTGATCAATGGTGTTGATGCTCCAATAATAAGCTCCAGCACTGTGGTTCTTTAGCATCCTCACCACTGACACTGGGATAGCATTTGACCTTTTATATGTGAGCTTCTGTTACATTATGCTTACTGTTCTTTAAGGAACTGGTTTTTAGTCAAGTAAAGGCAGCTGCATATACAATACAGTCCCTTGGTTGCCCCCTGGTGTATTGTTTAAGATAGTACAGACAGTATCCTTCAGAATTAGTTTTTTCTTTTACAGTGCACAGAATCTTTATCATAGATAAGAATTTCATAATGGGGGAATATCCGGGCTGCTTGCATCTGAGTGTTGAAGATTTCCAGCTGTTTTATTTTGACTTGATAGAGATGCAGTATTACAATTTGCAGTTTGGGTGGTTGGTAACCAAACAGGAGATGTAGAGCTTTGGACAGCAGGGGTTTGTTCACAACACAAAAGAAATTGAAAATGTGTCACCTGTATGAGCATGGATGTGTACCTATCAGGCTGCATTTAAATTCCATTACCCCTCTTTATAACAAACAGACAAATATTTTCATGAAGACTTGAAAACCAGCTGTGTAGCTTTTTGGAATAAGCAGGAAACCTTTGATCCCAGGTCTAGCAGCTGTTCTAAAGTAAGACTCCGTTCCATCAGTGTACTTAAATGGAATGCTATCTTTATTGTGCATGCTGTCATTAGGTTTAATTTGGGGGTCATCTTCTGTCCAGCCTCCACTGAGGGTCTTGAATTCAGTTTCAATGTTTTCTTTACTCCCATTTTGTTCAATATCATCATACATAATGTGTGAGCAACTCTGAGCTTCAACCCTCCATCCATGTATTCTTTGTTTCCTCAGACAAACCCAAAAATCCTGTAAACTCATCCTTAATGACAATCATACTCCCAATTTATGTTTTTTTTTATGCATTTGGTTTGTCTAAACTAATTATTATAATCAAATGGCTGATCATTTCAACTCTCTCTTTTCGTTTTACACAAGGTCTTTTCACATTTATGCTTTTTGTTTCCACACCCTATATTCTGGTCTTTTTTTTTTTCTTCCTCTTTTGCCATGCTGGCCTACAGTTGTGCGAACATGTAATTTATATCGATTAAAAATGTACATCTCCTAATTATGTAGCATCAAATTTTTTTATAGAGCACTTTCAAAGCAGTCTCGGGTGTACTATCAATGCATTGGATTTCACATATTAACCACTATGTCACACATTTTTATGGACGTTCATATCAATGTTGAACCATATACACACAGTGATGCCATCAATGGTCTGCATCCAGATGTCAGAATCAAGAATTTGGCACAGTAAGGATGGGTCGGTCATGAATGTGTTGCTCAAATGAAACATTTCAAACCGGTTTAGTTAAAATAAGCACAAGTTGATCGGATGGGAAGTATAGTGCTGCCTTATTTACTCACATAATATACCAAATATGACAGACGTAATTATTTCATTTCAGATGTGATCGTAAAAACATTTTCATTTTAATAATTAGACTGATTTTTCAAATCCAAAAGTCACATCTGAGTCATATTTTTCTCATATGAGTTGACTTACTTCCAGATGCACAAAATCAGAATAAGGTGAAAGATTGAGTATCTCTCACATTTATAACTCGTTTTAGATTCTTAAGAAAATAAAAGTCTAATAAAGGTCTATGATTGGCACACATAATGCCGCTAAAATAGCACACTATGTGACAGTAGAAGCCCAAATTAAGTGTATGACCAAAACTACAAATGCATGAACTCAAAGATTTGATGAAGAAATCATTTGAACCAATCATTCAGTCTACTGATCATAGTAATTCAATTCAGTCAAAAGACCCGCTGTTTCCATCACTGGTCTACAACTCCGATCCCCACAATCATGATCTGTCTAGCTCCAGTCTGATGTGTGATGTCCTGATGGTTGCTGTGTCTCTGGGTCAATGCTTTGTGTCTACTTGTTTTATGCATACTTCCTGAGCAGTACCTATAGCACACTTGGGAACATAATTCACTTCACAGTTCTCAGCACCACAGACTCTAGTTTGTTCTTCCTAACAGGGCGTATTTCTATCTTAATGTATACTTATGACTAATTCGCTAATCATTGGATTCGCTTTGTTATTATCTGCACTGAGTTAAAGTTCCTCCTGTCAATTTCAGTTATAGTCTGCCAGTTTATTTACCCCATCATTTCATTTATATTGCCAATTCCATTTAATAACAAGAGAAACGTAACTTTAGATCAAACTCTGTAGAAAAACATTAACCCATTCTCACCAGTAACACATGAACCAAACTGGTCTTGACCTTAAATAACCCATACCAGCATCTGCAATCCTTGGCATAATAAAAGCTAGAAAAGAACAAGAAATACATCGCCTATAAAAGGCCAGATATCTGAGATGTAGTAGACAGAAATCCTTTGAAGAACTTCAGCGCAGAGCTTCACCTAGTAGCAGGTCAGCAACCAAATAAACAAGCACATCTTCAGATGGGAGAATAAGTCCAACCTTAAATCCTTCTAAGGATAAAACCTAAAAATTCTGTAAACTGGATAATTTTTAGTCTGAATGAATTTAACCACTTGTCAGATTTCCCAACAACAAAACACTACTTTATCTTGGTCTATTGTGTTAAATCCTAATTAAACTATTACAATTTGATTATATTGTTACTCAACAGGAAACAATTTGAGATATATTGGTTAAAATGCATTTATATAGTGACTTATGGACCAGGAAGGATTTCTCTACTGTCTTTCCACTAAACCATAAAGAAACCCATCTTCCATTCCCAGTGTCATGACTTGATCATAGCTTAGTTCAAAATGAATTTATAAAACAGCATTTGAAAATAACACCCATTTAGTAACTGTGGCGTTAGGAACACAAATACATCAAACAAAGATTAAACAGCTTTCTAAGTGTTAATACTTTTAACGACTCAAAGGAAATAGATATCTTTCATAGTCATGAATAAAGCAAACAGTGAGTCTTACACTAGTGCACAAACACACCCATACACGCACACACACAGAGCATGAGCTAGTGTTTTATGGTTTACCATGTTTAATTATTTACTCGGGTCTTTCTCAGACTGTGCCGGTGTTGGTTTCCATCACACTCAGCTGCTTTCTTGACGCAGCTCCACATCAAGTCCGATCCAACCCTTCCCGCCTTTCTCCCACTGGTTGAGTCTCCCTCTTTCTGGATGATTGAGGGCCTGGTAGCTGGTGCTCCTCGAGGTTTTCTACTGACTGCTGCAACATTCTAGATGTAAACATGTCAGGAATGAATAGTGACCAGCTGCACCGCTCCACTTTGGGGATTTACATGGTGAGTGAAATCTCTTTAGCTCAACTAGTGGCTTGAAGTTAAGGAATAGTTTGTGGAAAAAGGCAAAGTTAAACGTTGATTGTAATTTCTATGAAGTACACATGACTCTGTCCTGAAAACAACTTATTTTTAACTGTAAGAGAAAATGTGTGAATACCCTTATCTTGTGAATAAAAGATGTTCTTTATTGATTCCTCTTTAGGTGATATCTGACGTTGTGTTTTTCTGTCTTTCAAAATACACATGAGCTTTCACTCAATACATTTATTTTTTATTTTTTTAACAGAGTTTGACTGACGAGCTCAACCCAAGTCTACAGAAGCTGGTTTCACTGGGAAACAGCTACGCCCATGCTTTCAAAGGTAAGGTTGAAATGGAGGAACCAAGGATAAAGAAGGGTTGATATAGGAGGGAGGAATAGATTATTTATGAGAGAAGAAAAATGAGACAGAAAGGAAGAAAGCTGAATCATAGGATGGATGGAACAAATAAAGAGGAAAGTGAAAAAGGAGGAAAGCCATAGGAGAGCAAAATGGGAAGTAGGAAGAAGGAAAGAAACAAAGACAGAAACACAGACATTCACAAATGAAGGATTGATAACTAAAATGTTTTTTTGTTTGTTTTTATTCTATCTGCTCACTCAGAGGTAAATCATTTTGATAGAGCAGTATGTAAAAGAAAAATCGGATACAGAGATATAAAGCTTTTATTGGTTTTAATGTTACATAAACAGCTTTTCAGTAGTGGTTCCAGCAGCTCAACAGACATTAAATATAGATTAAGAACCTATGGGCCACCTGCAGCAGGCCTGTAATTTCCCCTTTGTATTCTGGGCTGAGCTGTGTCCTTATGCTGAGGAGCTTTTCCCTCAGCATTCATTCATATAGAGCTTGTTTATTCAGTTTATAGACCTATTCCTTGTAAATTACAAAAATGGTACGGGTATATTATTATTATTATATATGTTAATGAGTTTTAGCTGCAGCCTGTTGCAGACAGAAATGGCGGCTTGTAAGGAAAAGGAAGTCCTAATACTGTAACTGTAAAAATACAATTCTAGTTATAAAAAAGTGAAAATATGACTGAACTTCTTACAATTAGTAACATTAAAACTATAATATTGTTGTATTTTTAAAGGGGATTTGAAATTACAAATCATCATAAGTTTGTGGAAGGTCATTGCTGTCTTAAGTTTGTTATATCCAACCTTTGCAACATTTTATTGACCACTCAAACTGTTTTTACCTGAGCTGTGGATCTGAGCAGGTCTCTCACAGTTGCCTTGCAGTTACTTCTTACATAAGTACCTGAACTGCTTCCCTGACTAATCCTTTCCAGGGATGCCACTTAAGATGGGTGGGAATGCATTGGCAGATTTTATGTTGTTCTATTTTGATTTTGTAATGACTGACTCAACACTTATCTGTAAGAAGTTTAAAGCTTGAATTTTTTTTTTATAACCCAGCCTTGCTTTAAACTTCTCCACCCCTCCTCTTTCCGCTGTGTTCCTTGATTACTAATATGCTCTATTACCTTCAAGCTTTCCTTCATAGAACAGCTAAGTTACACCAAGATAATGTCACACAAAAGTTCACATTTTACTAATTAGATTTATGTACTTTACATAAAGGTTGATATGAATGCTATGATCTCTTATTTAATGTCTTTTCTCACCCCACCTATAATTATGTCCATTATTGCCGATCTGCCTCATAAAGTTGAAATAAAATACTTACACATCACAGTTTGTTGCACGACTAATTGTGAAAAAGTTCAAGGGGTATTACTTTTTTTTTTAGAAGGAACTGTTTGAAATTCCTTTGGCTTTTTTCTGTATGGAAGCTGGAACTCTGAATGTATGACTACCTTTTGTGTGTTTCAGCTCTTGCTGTCAGCAGCGAAGCCTACTTCAATGCACTTTCAAAGATCGGCGAGAAAGCTTTCTACTCCATGTCGTCCCGCTCCCTCGGTATGTCAAAGCATGAGGTCGGGGCTCAGAGAGGTTCAGACAGGCTCAGCTGTCTAGGATGTGTTCAGTTTGTCTGCATGGTCATTTATTAAACTCTGGCTCATCCGTGTCATGGAGATCAAAGTTTACCCTTATGAGGCGTTTTATTGCCCCCCTGCCAACATGACAGTGACTCTGTAATTTGTATTGGTGAGGACATTTCCTTAGCATTTGTGACTGCATATTCTCAGAAGTTATAGCACATAATTTAACAGTCAGAGATTGGGTCACTCTGTTCACTCAGATTTCCTTCACGCAGCTGTTCAAAGCTCTGCTGGGTTGTAATATGAGTTACCTTTCATGTGGATTGCATTAAATCTGATGGAAGAATTGAACATGAATTATAGATGATGACAGTCAGTTTTCTGCAAGCTTTACCTAAAGTCATTATGATGGAGCAATGCGGGTTAAATAGCTGGCATAGAGGGATATCTACCAGTCCTTCACCCAAAATATTGAATCCCAAATTCAGCTTTTTGTTAGCGACTGTAACAATGAATAAAGGAAACTAATCTTCCATCATCAGTCTGCAGAGGTGTCAAAAGTATTAATGTATAATATTGAAGTAGAAGTATAAATCTTACTGTTTTAAAAACACTTTTGTAGAAGTTAGAGTATCTACTTAAGCTTTTTACTCAAGTAAAGAGTAAAAGTAGCATTTTCAAAATGCTACTATAAACCTTATACTGGTTACTGCATTACTCTATCAAAGGGAATTTTTCCAAAATTCTGGATGTTAATTTTATAGTTTTATAACAAATTGTGTCAAATTTAACTTTGCATCATCTTGAAAAAAGATTTATTTTGGTATGTAGCAAACAAGTTGCTGCAGCACCAATACCAACCATGAGTTGATTAATTGTCTGGATGAAACAAATCATTTTGATATTAAATGCCAACCTGCCATAACTAAAATGAAACAAGCTTAAATGAAGCAAAAGTCTATTTTTAAAATGTATGGAGTTGTAAGAATACTGATAATTGTAAAAAATTGAAGGAGTAAAAGTAAAAGTATAGATAGCTAAAATTTCCACTCAAGTAGGTTAACAAAGTATTTGTAGTTTATTACTTAAAGGTATAGTGGAGGATTTTCACAAATGTTTGAAAAGACATGCCCTATCCACTTTTAAAAAATGCACATGCACAACCCTGTAGCCAGTCCTGAGAGGCAACGTCTATTAAACGTGTGCGAGAGCATGCACAAGCCCATCTCTCCTCCTGCACGCTCTTTTTAAAGTTGCTGTTTGCATTGCTCATACAAGCTTACTTTCCAAAAGAAGATTTGCAATTTTTCCACTATGTTAGACTCACCCCCGGTAAATGAAAATGGGGAGGAGCACGTAGGACGGCCTTACGTAAGCATATCACCAGAATGATTGGCAATTAGGAGGACCACTTACTTTGATGATCCACCTGGAAAAACAGCAGGCTCCATTACACCTTTAACAGGCTGTCACTATGAGTTATATTAAAATGCAAACGTCTTGTCAGAAGTCTCACTTGCTTCTGTCTGTTGTTAGAGCTTTTTAACTTCTTAACATCCACCTTATTTTGGGTAATCCTTGCATATTTTGCATACCCAAATGAAAAAGCAAATAACTTAGGAACTGTAAGCCCAAATTACATGTGCAATACATTATTTGAAAGCTAAAACCCTCTAGTTTCTTAATATATAAATAAAATTGGGTGAGTAGAACACAGACCAACCTGCATCTGTTCAAACATGACACAAATTTTACCAGTGGAATTTTATGCATTCTGAATTATTACCCCCACTTAAGGTGACCCGGTGGGTTTTAAGGGGTTAAGGCAACAGTTTACCACATAAATAAAGCAGATAGACTCCTCATCATCTGCTTTTATTGACAACCTTAAATATGTTTGCAAAAGCCTTGAAAATGATGGCTGTTGTAGACACTGAGATTTCCATGCTGCGGGTCTCTGCTTTGAAGTTTTTTTTATTATTATTTGATCCTCTTTTCCATCTAATTTAATGCCCTACAGTGACCAAATCCTCTTCATTGCTTAAACCATTTATGAATCTTCTCTCACGGAAAATTGAAACTGAGTCCTCCTGAAACATAAACATTTACAACTACATTGGATCACTCTTCGCTGCTGTAAATTGCTCACCTTTTTTAAAGGTTTTCCACAAGTTTAGCAGTGTTTGTGGGAATTTCTGCTAATTTTGTTGTAGTAATTGTGAGGTCAGGTACTGATGTTGGATGAAAGAGCCTAACTGACACTCACCCCTTTAATTCATTCTAAAAGGTCTCTCTATCCTGTGGTCAGCATTCGGCATAGAAAGATCAAGATTCTACTCATTAATATCTACTTACTCATTGATATCGTCATGGCTCTTTTTTTTTAACAGTCCAAAATTCATAATAAGACAAAAACCTGGTAAGCTTCAGCATTGACGGCTTCTTTCACTAGAACCAAGGGACAGAGCCAAAACCTCCTTTACAAAAAAGCGTAAAGGTATAGTGGAGGATGTTTTTCTTTTGGGTGGATCATCAAAATAAGTGGTCCTCCAAATTTTCAATCATTCTGGCTATGGGCTCGTCCCATTGTTACCTACCGATAGTGAGTCTGACATAGTGGAAAAATTGCAAATCTTAAAGTAAGCTTGTATGAGTGATCCACACAGAAACCTTCAAACAGAGCATGCACGAGGACAAATGAGCTCATGAACGCTCTTTCATTAGATGTTTCCTTTCGGGAGTGGGTACAGGGTTGTCTCTGTGCGTTTATTTTTTTTAAGTGGAGGGGGCTTGTCTTTTCAAAAATTCGCAACAAAATTCTCCACTATACCTTTAGGTACTTTAACTGCTTCCCTGACTAATCCTTTCCAGGGATGTCACTTAAAATGGGTGGGAAAGTATTGCCAGATTTTATGTTGTTCACTTGTGATTTTTGAATGACTGACTCGACACTTATCTGTATGACAGTTAAAGCTTGAACAGTTTTTTTTTTATAACCTACCCCCCCTACGTTCTATCTGTTGTGTTCCTTTGTCATTAAGATGCTCTATTATTCCTTCATAGAGCAGCTAAATTACACCAAGATAATGTCACACAAAAGTTCACATTTTACTACTTAGATTAGTGTACTTCACAAAGGGGGTATATGTGAATGCCTATAAACTCTTTATATGTCTTTTATCACGTTCCCAAGGGTTTGCGGGAATTTCCTTGGAGTAATTGTGAGGTCAGACACTGATGATGGATGAAAGAACCTAACTCACAGTCACCAGTTTCATTCACCCTAAAATGTGTTTCTATCCTGAGGTCAGAACTTACAGTGCAGAACAGGCGGGTTTCTATAAACCAAACGTACTTATTGATATCTTTATGGCCCTTTCTTTTTGAACTGTTAAAGTTCAACAGTTGAACAGTCATGATAAGACAAAAAAAGTGGCAAGCTTCATTATTGACGGCTTCTTTCCCTGGCACCAAGGGACGGAGCCAAAACCTCGTCTACAACAAACTTCTGATCTATACGTTGTGGTTTTAAGTAAAAGGTTCAACATAGATTGACTCGTAAAAGAAGAGCTTCCCCTTCAGGTTTTTCTCTTTCTTTCTTATAAGACGCTGAAGCAGTTTAATCAAACGAAAACTCAACCTCTTTATCAGTTTCCTGACTGATGACGTGGAGGAAACAGTCTTACAATCCTCTCCTCGCCAAAATTTACACCCACTGGCATCCATCTTAGATGAAGAAACTCTTGCAAATTGAAAATGCCTCCTCACTAATCTGCAAGTTGCCCCAATTAATTAATCATTAGTAAGACTAATTCTTCTTGTTGTTCCCTGATTTCATTCCTTTTTTGTTTTTGGTGACTCTCAGAATTCCAATAAAGTTTTATTTGATTTAAAGTTAGTAGCAATACAGAGATCTAAGTGGGTCTAATTTTACAGTAATGATCAATAAAAGCCAAAAATAGGTAGATATAAAATAGAAACTTAATGTTTTATAAAAGCAAACAGCCACCTGCTAACAGAGCGCTTGTTCCTTAAACGAGCCACACAACTGAGCCCAAAGACCACAGATAAAAAGACAATCTACCGATTTATTAGTCTAATCTGTTGTGGGCAGTGGCCTGTTTTACTGCCTCCCCAGCTTTAAATGGAACAGTGTCTTTGTTTGTCTGTGCCACTGACTTCATACTCATTTTAACATTATAGGTAAATGATCAATAAATTAATCTGATTACAAATGGTGTTCTTATCTTCAAGGAGATGTCCTGATTCAGATCTCTGAGAACCAACGAAGGCTCACCTTGGAGCTGGAGGGAGTGGTAAATGACGTCAACGTGGATGAGATTACCAGACAAGTTTCTGTTAACACCAATGCAAACACAATTTAATTATTTTTTTTTTTCAGTTCCGCAAGTTCAGTTTGGAAGTCCTGCAGGTGATGGACAACAACATCCATTTGGACAGAGACTACATCTCAGTGAGTGAAAGCAGAGAAAAGACAAATCATGCCATAATAATAATAAGGAAATGTTACAAAGAGAAAATGTTTTATGAGAGAACAATAAAATAAAAGTCATAGAAAATGATAACATCTATAAGGGAATCTTTGGTCATTTATATAGCACCGCCAGAAGGCATTTGTACTGTACTGTATTACTGTGTGAACAGGGCAAAGGAAAGTCTTTGACATGACTTTTTAATCGTAGCAGAAGCTTACACCTTATCCTATTTTCAGGAATGATTATTTAAAAACAGAGGTGTCAAGTAACGAAGTACAAATACTTTGTTACTGTACTTAAGTAAACTTTTTAGGTAGCCTATCTATACTTTACTCCAATACTTATTTTTCTTCCTACTTCTGACTTCTCATTACATTTTCACACAAGTATCTGTACTTTCTATTCCTTATATTTTTAAAACAAACGTTACTCGTTACTCTTGGCTTCGGTTTAATGCAGAGGTCACAGAAAAGGGACCTCTTTCCCGGTGTTATGCCGAAAAGTACATGACTGCCGAGATATGCATTCCTAGTCACAGGAGTGTGCCTCGCTTTGTACAACTGCGACTATCGACGAGGAAAACGGATTAAAACATGACCAATGGTGCTACTTGTTGTTATATTAATCATATAAACACCTTTAAATATTCCTCTCGGGGGGAAAAAAATTGTGGTTATTTGGCAGGTTCATTTTCAAAAGTATGTGTATTATGAACAACATTAAATCCAAAGATTTTGTCCGAGGTACGAACTGATTTATTTGTTGTAGTCTCTTGTTATTCGCACACAGCAATAAACAGTGATAGCCGAAACTGCGAAGCTTTGTTTTAAGCGAAAAATCAAACTACACAGCACAGCGTTCACAGACCAGTGTGATGAATTCACAAGCGTCAGATAGCTATGGTGCATTCAGGAGCATGGGACATTTCATTCATACAAGGAAAGAGACATAAACGGAACAGAACTTAACTTATACAATAATGTATTAACTCAGAAACATTGTAGGCTTTCTTACAATACTGAATGCTCTATAATTGTATTTCTGTTATTTTTTGATTATGCCCATCTGCTAGCTGTTTATTCTAAAAAATCTATAATATTACAGGAGCAAATTATCTAAATTTTTCAAAAGCCTGAGGCTTCAGATCATACAGCGACAATTGTACTGTTATTGTTTTACAGGCAGAATTTGCATTTGCTGACCCTTGTCCATTAACTACTGATGGATATACAGGAATACAGTCATAGTGTCAACTCCTCTGAGATAGCACGGGATGCCATTTTTTGGCAAATTTCTATTTTTTCATTTTTTTTATTCAATGTAAACCATGAGAGCATAAATACCTCATTGTTTTCAGTGTTAAATTCTGTTTAAAGTAACAGATCATTAAAAATGTCTCCGGACCTTTACTGGTTGATGATTTTCGGAGACCAACAAGACCTCCCTCACCTGGCCCTATCTCAAAGAATTTTTAGAAATAGTCGAAAAATTTAGCTTTTAATTCATATAGTGGCATATGGCTGTTTTTTTTAAAGGTTACTTTATACTTTTATACTTTTAGTAGGTTTTGGAGCACATGCTTTTTTACTTTTACTTGAGTAAAGATACTTCAACGTTTACCAGAGTGTTTTTAGACTGCAGCACCTATACTTCTAATTAAGTAACAAATGTGTGTACTTTTGACAACACTATTTTAAAATAACTTTGAGAATGTTTGAAAGAAATAACTGCTTCAGTTTTAGGATTTATTTTAGATGTTCTTAAATACACATACTGAAAAAGTCCCAAGCGAGTTGAAGGGAAACCACACACCTTGAAGAGTGTTGTGCAAGTATCTTGCGTACTTGTTAGCAGGTTTTTAACTATTTTTTGTGAACATTATACTTACTTTTGATTTTGTCGTTTACAACATGCTTAGAACCATTATAGAACCTCCAAAAAATCTTTTTTTTTTCTGCCATTGACAAGGATGATCCATACATTTTAATACCTCCTTGTGTTTAAATTTAAGCAACAACCTGTTGACATGAGATAAAGTTGTAACATATAAAGAAAATGCAGTAGTATCATTAGTCCATCTTTTCTTGTTTAGTGTTCTAGTAAAAAAAAAAAAAGAAGAGACCCGATACTATGATGCTGCCGCATCCATGATTTAAAACATTCTCCCGCATTGTTTTTACATTTTTTTCTAGGGGGCAGAAATTTATGATTCAATCAGATACAAAAAGCTGTCTAAGCCCCAGACCATAAAACCACCAGCACACTATGTGTGTAGCTCTAAAATCTAAAAGTATTTTTTTTTTTCTAAAATTATGTTTTATTTTCATAGAAAATTATTTTAAAAAGTTTCATTTTTTTTATGGGTTAAAAAAATTGACCAAAAATCTTTAAGAGTCTATTTGTGCTTTTGGGATTTTTTTTGGTCAGGTGTGGAAATTTCTCCCATGGATTCCCTTTTTTTGTCCATTTAGCAATCTTTTAAGCAGTTGTTATTTTCTCACTCAAATTGTGTCTCATCTGTTCTTGAATTTCTTTATATCAGAGCATGATATTTCACTTTAAGACATACTTTAGCCTGTTTTGTGCCTAAATTGTATGTAGATTCTACAGATCTGTCATTAATCGAGTCTTGCTGTATCCAAGGATATTAAGCAAAACGTTTTTTAATCTTATTTTCATTTAGGATTTTACAAGAGGGGAATATATATATTTCCACACTTGGCTTGGATAGTTTTTTTTTATATTTATGTTCATTTATTTTAAACAAAATTTTATGATCTGATGTGGACACCAGATATGTGAGGGAGCAAATACTTTAGCTTTGTATTGACTTTTTATCAGATGTTTCTCCTGGAGTTTGTCTTGTCTTGACTTTGTCTTAATATTGAAATGCACGTCCTCTTTTCCGACGGTTACAGGATAATGACTCCAGACAAACATTTAGACTATCTACCTAACTCCATAAGGCCGGCATACTTTAAGATTCTCGACCTCAAATGTTCTGGAAATACAAGGACCTGACCATTGAAGAAGAAAGGATGAAATATTTACCAATTAATATTTCAAGTTCTGTCAAAACGACATTCTGCTAAAAATATACCAGATATTTTGAGGATGGCTACAAAAGTCTTTAATTTCCTTCCAACTCACTACAGGATTGTTAAATAAAAGTTACAGTGGAGTTGTGCATTTAAGCTTTTTGATTGGCTTGAATCTGATGCTGGGAACTCTATTCTCTTTTTTATTTTAAGTTTAATCTTGTATTGAAAAAAAAGGTTTAAATATTACATTAAGAGTCAAAGATTTATACCAGATTACTCATTTTTATCTTGCCTTGGTTTTGATTTTAAACTAACTCATCTTGGTCTGTCCCACAGGACAGCAGAGTGAAGTATGAGAAGGAGGTCCACAACCAGACAGCAGGTCTGCACAGGCAGCGGAGTAGAGGAAAGGGCCAGGTCTGCTTGTCTTTTTCTTCTTCATCACAGAGGGAATGTCTTACACTGTCTCTTCATCATAGTTCATTTTGCTGTATATCTGTTCTGTCTGTTCTGTGTGTCTTCAGGACTCTGGCGAGTATGCAATGTTTCTGAGGGAGAGCCATCGTGAGGCGTTGGAGGAAGAGGAGCGGCGGTACCGCTTTGTTGCAGAGAAACACTGTGATTTCATACAGTCCATTGGCCGACTTATGAATAAGGTACACAAATGACTTCATTTAGCCTGCATTTTATCATCTACAGTGGTGTATCTGCAATATGACTCAGGTTATGACAACAAATGTCAGACAACTCCCTAAAATAGAATGTAGATTATCGGGGAAAGGTGATGTGAGGCTTTAATGGTCTTTGTGTGAATTTCCCCTTTTTGATAAGTAAGAATCAGTTTCACTGTGTCTTAACTTGGAACGATTCCATATTAAACAAGTTGTGTGTTTGAACTCTGGACCTGCCTTTTTTATGACCCCTCTGTGTGAAAGTAATTCAAGGTTTTACATTGACAGGAAATTTATAAACTGCAATGCAAAACAAGTAGACCTTCTTAATCCACAATACAGATAATACAGTAGAATATTTATGTTGATCCTTTTATAAATTATTGTCTCTTAATTCTACCTGGGCTCTCATAAAGTGTATTGAAACATATGGAAATAAAGCCCGATTACCTGAAATGAAGTGAGGCTTTGTTTAACGCTCTGAACACAACTTCAGAATACACAAACAGTAGGTAAAATTACAGCTGAGCATGACACCTTAGAAATAACACAAAGCTTATAGATGAAACTTCTGAACACACTAAATCAGATGCTGCCCTCATGTGACCAGACTGGCTCTGTGCAAAGTGGAAACCCTTGAAGAAGTGTTAAGGTTTTCCTGTGAAAATAGTTTGCATATATTTTACCACATAAAAAAAAAAAAAAAAAAAAACTTCAAGGCTGGAAAATCAGCTTTGATCAGTTTTCATTCTGATCCTTTGCTTCATGTGAAGTTGCTTCGCCTCATCGTTGATGTTACCAGCGCCAAAACGATGGCAGCCTCTGACTCATTACTGTTATCTTGGCTGCTACTAAACGGCTGCATTACGAGAGAGTCCTCCTTGGCAACATCAATACTGAAAACCAGTAAACACACTCCATACAGTAACTATCTATATTAGTGGTTGCTACACAACAAAAAAACAACAATTGCATATTTTACGATCCCACAAGTTTTTAGGTAATTGCTCATCAGCTTATTTCTATAAGCTTCTTTTCTCAAT